GCTATAAAGTCAGCTGGCTCTCAGCAAATGCTGTGCAGAGCAAACTCATTCTCTCAGTGGTCTAGGTGGCATTACATGGTACAGTGAATCACACATAGTAGGTGTGTGGATTACATTTGCACAAAGTCCCATGCTGCATGCTCTCTCTTTCACCTTTTTGTATCTTCCTTCCCCTTTCTCCCATGACTTAGTCTTGTACCTTTCCTGGTAGTCTTAAAAAATTGCAGAAGAGCGTGCATGTGTGGATCTGCTGTTGCCTGGGCTTTGCATAATCCATCTTTGTACATATTAATTAGAAATAAGGGGTTTTTTTTATTTATTTCTGAAAGCCCTATTAGTGAAGTGATGCTATATAGAATTCTCTCTCACAGGATCTTGGATTGTGTTCACTTTGTGAACTGTTGGAAATATTTCCTGGAATTTTTCTCCTTTGTTTTGTTTGCCCAAAGTTCTTGTCGTTCTTTTCTTAGCTCATTTTTGATTAGGTGTTAAAATTCCAGTTTGCTTAAGGAGATTCCTATGTCAGCCTCTGAATGATTAAGATCTCTTTTTGCCTGTTTGCCAATTTATTGCCTGCTACCCCTATGTGTGCCAGGACCCATGCTATTACTATAGCTTTATCCAATTGCATCAGTTCAGTTGTTAGCAGCAATATTTCGTTAGCAATATAGTTTCTGCTGTCAGACTTACCCCTGTAAATTCCCTGCAGCCCTGATACGGAATCAGACAGGATGGCTATGGGCACTGGCTGCACATCAAAAGCCCAATTTAGCAGTAGCATAATTCTTTCTTAGCTCAGCCATATACATGGCTACAAAATTACTGAGCCTTGTAGCTTTCTTGCAATTTAGGCACTCAGAAAGCTGTTCCTGCCCTTCCTGTACATATGTGGCAATAGTCTTCTCACTTATTGCAGATACAATTTGTGATATTTTGTAGATTTTAATCTTATCCTTTTTTCCATAGCTCCATGTCTACCTCAAGAGAATGGTTTCCAATGACATTATTTTCCACTAGTTATAGATTTTGGTCTCTCAGTCTTCTCTTTTCATTAAGATTCTTTACCTCTGTAGGCTTTTTGGACACGGAATTCTGGAGCCTGGCATCCATATTCAATAACTGTTTGAGTCAACACTCTGTATAACATTACTGCCACTTTCTTATCAATTCCCCAGGACGCTCCAGGGATAATTTTAAGTGCCAAGGTAGAATCAGCATATTTACTTTAATGTTTTCAGTATGGTCCCTCCAGGTGAACTAGTTATCAAAAAGCATACAAGAATGTGGTGGGTTTTTTTCCACTATATGCATCAGCCCTCTTTTGTTGCTGATGCATACATTTTTAGATTTATACAAACAGTCTGCCCCTGTTCCCTGAATTTTTTTAGCCCTTTGAAGTCCTGGGTCTCCTCCAGGTTCTGCCTAACAATCTGATCAACCTGCAATAGACTGACCACCCCTTCATAATTCCTTTATTCAAGAGATCAGATTACCTGTCACACTAAGGGCAGATGGTAGTTAGGAGTCTTGCACATGGTTACCTCAAGAAAGTGTCACAATTGCATTTTCAGACAGTTTTGCAATTGGCCATAAATATTTGCAAATGTCCACATTAGCAGTTTGATTTAGCTCATCTCCAGCAAGATAAAATTACACTTTATTTGGGGCTGTTTTCTAACAGTGGAGTAAACATGAGAAACACAGGGGATGTGAGGTAATATCTGTTATTAGATCAATTTCTGTAGGTGAAGACAACAAGCTTATGCAGAACTCTTCTCCAAACATCTTTCTGAGACCTGAAGAAGAGCTCCATGCAGCTCAAAAGCTTGTCTCTAACCAAAAACAGTTGGTCCAATAAAAAGGTACTACCTCACCCATTTAGACTCTAATATTCTGCAGCCAACATGGCTACACCACTGAAATAAACAGACATTAAAAAGTTATTAGCACTCCACAATATTCACTAGAGTACCCACTCCCCATTCCATTGAACACTTTCACAGAAGTCTGATTCTCTACTCCAAGGAATATACACACCAGCTTTTTTACATTAAAGTTACCACTGCACTTAGCACACCACAGGTTAGCTATTTAGTTATAGCGGAAATAGGAATGTGTTTCATTTGAATCTCTGTTCTTTGATAATATAGTAAGAATATTAGAAACAAATTGTTATATTTGAAACAAAACCAGAACATGTTTGCTAGAGCCTCAATTTAATTCATAGGACACTCTGTTGCTTGCAGGATATTTTACCCAATTCCTTTTCCTAGCATTTTTAGCCATGTTGGCTGATACCATCACCCTCCCATCATGCACACACATTTCTGTAAAATCAAACCCACTGGCAACTTTTCTTCTCAGTATGAAGGAAACCTCAGGGCCAATCTGCACCCCAAATATGCCCAAACAGACCTTTAATAGTCATCTGAAAATAGAGGTCCCCTCCACCCCCACTGCTGTTACTTTTCATCTGAAGTCTCTTCAATTTTTTCCATTAGCATTTGACTCAACATACAAATAAACTTCTCATGTAAGATATACAATGGTTCATCAGGGAGAGAAGTCTCTTCCATCTTCTGTCTGAAGCAATCCATCACCATACATACTGGCTTTGAGTGATCTACCTTTAGTTACATAGCCTAGAGAACATAATTTTCAGCATATATACATAACTCCTTACATATGTTCCATATGCATATCTATCAGTGATTAAGACTATCAGCACAACATATACTTTCAATAGAGAATTTACTAAATCTCCCTTCCTCCAGTTCATTAGTTTCTCAGCAACACACCTCCAAATTCCAGTCCTTTTTCCTTCTTCACTTCACCCAATCTGCTAGAAAAAAAGGGAGTGGGGGGTTGTTATTAGGTTCCTAACAGAGCCTTAATTGGCTACAGGTACTTCAATTAACTGTAATAACCTTCCCTATTCTATAGGAAACCACACCTTAATTAGCATGCTGTATCACATTAGGTTCCTGACATGGCCTTAACTGACTACAGGTGCTTCAATTAACCTGTAGTAGCCTTTGCTCATCTACAGGGAACCACACCTTAATTAGCCTAGGGCTTTTATCTCCTCTCTCCTGCTGCATCATAGCTACAAAGATTACCAGAGGTTTCTACAGAATGTGCTAGGATGGTTGCAAACCTCCAGTAAGAATTCCACATATGAAGAAAAAGAAAGGATATGATGACACAAAGAATAAAAGCAAAGTGTACATGAGTGCACAGTTATTGTCTGCTGTGAGCATGCTGGAACCAATACTGTCTCACAATGGAAGCAGTGTTTGTATACCTAACACTCTCCTCCTTCAATAGCTGTTCAAAAAATGGAGAATAAACTCAACTAATATTCAACACAATAATCAACAGGAAGAAGAAGGGAGAGCTGATAACTGTCCCAGCAGCCAAGAGAGATGACATGTGGCTCACTGTAAGAGATATTAGACAGGGATAGCTAGGACATGGGCTCCCTCCTATTTTTGACAGGCTCAAAGATGCCAACCTTACTAGAATTAGACCAAGAAACAGACGTTAATAGTAGGAATGGAAAAGGGTACTTGGAATATGGGGCCAAATTCATCACTGCAGTCTTCCAGTTTTACGACAGAGTAACCCCCACCGATGTCAAACTGCTGCTACAGGAGTATAAACAGTTGCATCAGTGCAACATGGCAATAGCAGTGGTCAATCAGGTCCATGCAGTTTTATTTGGGTAGGGGGAGGTTTAGATGACTTGAGAAAATAATTGAAAATCCTACCATGAAATATTCAACTTTACAAAGGAAGAAATTGGGGATATATATATAAAAAAGTGGCTTGAGCCCAGAGAAGCATGTTTTTTCCAAGTAAATCCATACTTCCTTCATCCTCATGAACTGTACTCCAAGACAGACTGAAACAACAAAAATAAAACTAATTAAATAACAGCAGGATTGGTCTCAACTGGTTTGACAGCTAATACAATACAGTACTTACATGGGCAATATTTTTAAATGTGTACAGGAGGTAAGATTCCATAGACCAAAACAGAATGGACCACTAGATTATACCCAGGGAACTATGTTATTTTCTTCCCTACCTACCTTGCTTTTCTTCAGCAGTGTGTTTTAATTTCTTAGAGTACAAAAGCACTTTTGCTCATGTTGGCTGCTCTTTAATGAGGCACAGGAAATGGATAAAAGACACCCACTTCTTTAACATGCCCAAGGAAGAATTTCATTCTTCCCCTTTATTTTTGCTCTGTTCCTCCCTTCCCTTAGGCAAATGAAGCTGTTCCTTACATGAGAAGCCAAACACACCCTCCGCCGATAGCGTCCTGCTTCTTGCCTTACCTAAGCCCTACCTCCCATTCTGCCATCTCCAGTTCTCCTTGCTTAATCCTCCTGACATCTCAACCTGATCTACCTTGCCCTGCTACTCTTGGACTAAAGGTGGAGATGGAAAACATGGAGACTCCTCCCCAGAGCCCTAAATTGCCCCACTTCCAGGCAGTCAGAATCCCCTCCTCCACTCTAACATAGGATCCTCCAAAACCTCTTCGGAAATCCTAGCAACATAGTTTCCAAAGTGTTTAACACATTGGAAATAGCCAATATTAAAGGTTAATTTTGATTTTTCCAGTACTCTATAGTCAGCAGTATTCCGTATTCTTTTGTTAATGTACTTCACTAATGTTTTTGTATAGTTCATTATAAAACTCAGAGGGGTAGCCGTGTTAGTCTGAATCTGCAAAAGCGGCGAGGAGTTCTGTGGCACCCATGCATCTGAAGAAGTGGGTCTTTGCCCACGAAAGCTTATGCTCCAACACTTCGGTTAGTCTATAAGGTGCCACAGGACTCCTTGCTGCATTATAAAACTGTCACTGTTACTTATAAAATATATTTACTGTAAGATCTTTGGATCATGTTTCTATATATGTTTGCACAGCAACTACTACAATGGAGCTCCAGTTTTGGTTGGGGTCTCTGGATGCTGCTATAACATAAACATTAGATAATTTTGTGGGGAGACTCATTGCAACAGGAAAAGAACATTTTGCAATTCTGAGTCTGAAGTATGAATATTTTATTTCTTTCTTGAACAGTGAATGACAGTCCCTGGAATTGGTTCTGGAATCACTTGAATACAATTTAATTTATTACAGCTGTATATTTTCTTTTGGATCCTTAGGTCTTGCTCCATTTGCATTCCAACTAACAGTCAGACGAAATCCCATTCGTAAATCTTTGCCAGGCATATGTGATGCTAATGAGCTGCAGACTTTTTAAAAAAAAATAGCAGAAGTCTGATGCATTTAAGTCACGTCCCATCCAGTTTGGTATTCCAAAATAAATACATTGGAAATATGCTGACACAAGTCTTTAAGGCTCTGTTAATATTGCTTGGTGATATCTCATGCCTTTTCAGGACATCAACATCAGCAGAATTCAAATGCCTGAAAACCAGAAAATACACAATTAAGGTGTATGTCCATACAACCTTAACCCTGCCCTCTCCCCCAGGGTGGCAATATCCACCTGGGATCAATCCACACGTTCTCTAACTACATTCATCGTATTATATGTCATCATATTGAATGGTGGAAAGATTAGTTGAAGCAACTAGGCAGAGCTATGACTGTGTTATGAGGTGTATGAGATTCGCCTCCCCCCATTCCGTGTGTGATAAAAGGAAAGAGGTACATGTGTATCTGAGATATCCAGTATGCCTCATTTCAGTGCTGAGTTATGTAGGTTGTCAGCAGCAAGGCATAGGGGTCTTCTTGCCATGGGTATTGTCAGTAGTGAGATTGATTATGAGACGAGTCTGTGAGTTTAATGATGGATATGTTAAAGTATTTTACTATCCTGTGAGTAATAGTGAAGGAATTGTAAAAATGAAGTGACAGCAGATGTGGCCTTTCTGTGGAGTAGTCTGAGTGTTTGTGTGTATGGCAGGTGCAGGTAGATTCTGTTCATTACAGTCCACTGGCAGTGTGTGAATGTGTTATGGACATAGAAAGCAGAGTTAAAGTTTTGTAGGCATATACTGTTTTATTTCCTGGGGTTTCAGAAATTTATAGTACCTTAACTCTTCTTTCCCTCACTTCCAAAAATATGAATTTTGCTGAATTTCTTGTTTTGGAAGGATGCAAGACACCTTAACACTCCCTTAAAACAATTACAGTGAATTTTCATGGTGGTTTTTTTTCTTAAGAAAAAAAGAACACTATCTCAGTTGTACAGCTAGAGAAACTGAGGCATGCAGAAGTGAAGCAACTTTACCAGGGCCATCTAGTAGGCCATTGGACACCTGGGAATAGAGCCTAACATTTGAGTTCCAATCCACTGTTCTCTCCACATAGTTACTATGTGATTTCCAAGTGCTCTCCTACCATTTCTTGTTCTCATTGAATGGGGATAAGGGTTGTGCCTTGCAATGTTTGCAGTGGTGAGATATATGGGATTTTATTTCTAACAGTATAAAAGAAACTTACTTTTAACATTTTTCCAGATGCCCAACTGGGGAACAGGACTTTCTTTGTGGGGCGATGCCCTGAAACTCACTGCTAGTTCAGAGGCAAGGCAGGCTCACATTGACACTATCCATGTGTGACAGCTGCCAAATCGGCCAACATCCAAGAGCAAGAACTAATACAGCCTTTGCCAAAGCTTTTGAGCATGGGCTCTTACAGACTCATATATTCTGCAGATCATGCAGAGAGAGAACCTGTCATAAACACTCTCCTGTTGGTTACATTTGCACAAAGCAACTGTGGGACTTGAGTGTTGAAATTGGAGGAGGAATTTGCATATGAGACTTTTTAGGCCAGCAGACTTATTGAAAGGAAAAGAATAAAATCTGACAATTCTTGCAGTTGTTGTAATGGTCTGGGAGACAGTTAGTAGGGGTTACTGATATTTTAATTATATAATTTTAATTATTTAATCATTTGTAGGCATCTGACAAAGTGGTTTTTACCCATGAATGCCCAAGTCTGAGAGTCAGATGCCACAGAACTCCTCATTGTTTTTGCAGATACAGACTAACATGGCCACTCCTCTGAGACTTATTTATCTTATTTAAAAGGGCTCAAAATCATTTAGCTATGCCCATACTGTATGTAGAATGCCTATGCAGCTGTCTGTTCCAAACACGGTTACCCTTCTTGCTCCATTCCTCCCCTTGTCTTCAATTAGGCCATGATCCTGCAATTGGCTCTCTTTGGAGGTCTGCCCAAGTACAATGAGTTGCAGGATTAAGGCCATAGATGTTAAGTTCTTCAAGGGGGAAAAAAATCTTACTTTGTTTATACATACAATTTAGCACAACCATTGCTGATTCAGACTTCTGAATATCACTGCAATAAAGATTGATGGATTTAAATACTTTTCTCATGCTGTTTTTTAAACTCATATAGCAGGATGTTTTTGTGCATTCTGTTTCTTGTTGCTCTTCTTGAACAAATCATTATCACTTCCTAGTTTCCCATGGCTGCTTGTTAATTGATTGGAAACAAGTAGGCATAAAAAGCTCTCAGCATCTCATAAAAGCCTAATTTCTCCACTTCAGATATTCACCTTCTGGGGGAAATACAGCTACTTTTTCAACTGCATAGTTTAGATGCAGTGGGTGAACACACACTATAGTTTTAATCTTTTAATGGTTAACAACATGTTGTTTCCAATCTGTATGCCACTTGTTGTTATAATATCTGAGATCATTTCTTGCTCCTTAACCCCTACATAAACACACAAGACCTAATTTTCTGCAGCTTTGTACTTTCTGTGCAGGATGAGTTTGCCCCAGGATGAGTTTGACTTAGTAGCATTTGCTCCCCCTTCTGAATAGGTGTAAATGATGGCAGAGGTTCAATTCAGTACAGCATCAACTCCATAATTATTTCTGAGTAAGGCAGAAGCCCTTGGGATCTGGGGGGCTATGGTGTGTCTGCACATGAAAGTTTTATTCCAAATTAAAATAGGATGTGACTAAAGCAATATAGGTATTCAAGAATAAATCCATATGAGGAGAAAATTGTTCCTGAATAAGAATACCTTCTTATAATGGATTAAGATAATCTGAGGGGGGGAAACCCTTATTACAGAATAAGGGTGTCTGAAATAACTCTCATTTACCCACATCCTAAAACATAGGAAGGATGTGAGATTCACTATGGGCCCATCGTGATTCCTCATTCCATTTGATCACAATGTAAGAAAGGAAAGTACAAGACAGATAGTAGTTGGAAGTCATATAAATGCTTCCCTTGTGT